AGGCACCACCCACTCTCTGAACCTCACAACCACGATTATTATTTACCTTCTCCAACTCTTTGCCTGCCAATGAGTAACCAACCCAGCATTTACATACAGGCCGCTACAATGACAGGGACCACTCAACCCCAGATAAAACCAACTACCTACTCAGATATATACTTTATCCACGATGTAACCTACAGAACATAATTGCTGCCCACCTGGCCAACTGATCATTGAATGTCAATATTGCTCTATGATATAATTGTTTGATAAGCTTCACTTTAACATTCCACTGACAACACACACAGACCTAGTGCTCAAGGAATGCAAACCACCCAACGCAACATAGACGAGAAATGACCTGCATGGCTATATGCACGTAACATGGCTGTGCAAAGGCACTAGGACATACATATATACATACATACACACACATTCCCGACAAGACTTCACCCCAACCCTGACCAACTTGGTACACGGACCGGATACTAGGATGCCACACACTGCTTATTTGTACCTCTATTTTTTCTTATGTGAAAGATGTTTTTTGCATTACCCCTGATCAAGGTGCCATGCCTCTGCGTAGGCAACAGTGGTTACATGCATACGTCTATTTCCTGTGCAAACCGGTTCAATGTATGTTATCATTTCGCTTACAAAAATAAATAAATAAATAAATAAATAAATAAATAAAACAAAACAAAAGCATATCTTACTGAAAATACTTACATTAGTTGGAGAAAAACTCCTCATTTTAAGATCATCATTTATCCATATTCTTGTTACTTCCTTGCTGGAAATATATTTCTTTGTTCCATTTAGGAGGTCAGCTAGAATAAATAAAATAGAGACCTTAGCAAACATTCCAATGGGAAAGCTTTAATGTGTAACATGGCGAGTGCTGCACATGTGCATTGGGTCCTACTATCGCAGTGACATGACGGATGAAGGGGCCTAGCCAGAGGTAAATAAAGGAGGATGGAAAGACTTTTTTTAAGGGTAAGGGCAGAGAAACTATATTGTTTGTACTCCTGATGCCTTTAATATTGCTGGATATGTCTTCCATATGATTTAATATTTTTGTATAAACGTTTAAAATTATTTCATATTATGAAAATATTTAAATTTTGTAATTTGTTGATATTTTTTGATGCATTGTTATATTTTTGATAAAAAGTTTTGATATTTTAATATGTTAAAAAATAATTTTAAAAGTTTATACAAAAATATAAAATAGTTTGGAAAGCTTATACAAAAATATTAAATTGAGGCCTTGGTTTAGGGAGCTTTTATATGAATAAATGCATTAATGCCATGGGGAGGATACGATTCAATTTATATGATTCGGTTAATAACATGATGAAGTTTATTGTAAAGTTATTATTTATTTGTTTGTTCAGTGTTTTACTAAATTGCTTTAAATAAGTTCATGTATACTGAGGGTAGTGGTGTTGTGGAGACAGACTCAGGCATTGAGGGTAGTGGTGTTGTGGAGACAGGCTCAGGCACTGAGGGTAGTGGTGTTGTGGAAACAGGCTTGGAGACTATGGTGAGGCCTAATAGAAAGCAGTTGTTGTTGGGGGATTCTATCATAGGTGTGGAGATGGACAATGGTGATCTTGTGACATGTCTTCCCGGAGCTACTGTTCACAGAGACAGGAGACATATTTGTAATATAAGCGAGCAAAGCAGGAAGGGGAATTGGATGTACGTGTCCATCTAGGGACAAATGACTAGGCTTGCAATAAGGTTTCAGAGGTAAAGGAAGGTTCATCACTTTAGGAGTGTATAAAAAGGTTGTAAATATTAGCTTGGCTAATAGAGCTTGGCAGCTGCTTCTAAATGCAGCTACAAAGTGTATTTGGAGATATTCTGGAGATAAACTGGAGGTAGTCTGAGGTACACAGAAGTTTGAAAAAAAAAAAAAAGGAAATAAAGTAAGATTTGATTGATTTAAACTTCTCATCTCATTAAAATGGCAGACTTAGTTCGGTGTAATAGTTGTGCATTTGTTTCACATTCCACTTATTGGAGGTTTGGTTGTTGTCTAATCTGTAGACAGTTCTCTATATTGCAGCAGGAGATTGCAAGGTGAGCAACAGTGCACCCCAGGACAAAAAGGACAAGGTGAGGCCTGATAGAAAGCAGTTGTTGTTGCTGGGGGATTCTACCTTAACCCCTTAAGGACGGAGCTAAATGTACACGTTGTGAACAAAACAAAATGTAAACAAAGCCTGGCATTTGCGCTACAAGTCTGTAATTCGCCTCTTTCATATTAAATGCACCCACCCATTTGAAATTGAAATTCGCCAGATTGGTTAAGTTGCCTTTGGGACTTTATAGTAGCCCAGGAATGAAATTTACACCCATAATGGCATACCATTTGCAATAGTAGACAACCCAAGGTATTGCAAATGGGGTATGTCCAGTCTTTTTTAGTAGCCATTTGGTCACAAACACTGGCCAAAGTTAGCGTTAGTATTTGTTTGTGTGTGAAAAATGCAAAAAACGCCAATTTTGGCCAGTGTTTGTGACTAAGTGGCTACTAAAAAAGACTGGACATACCCTGTTTGCAATACCTTGGGTTGTCTACTATTGCAAATGGTATGCCATCATAGGGGTAATTTTCATTCTTGGGCTACCATAGGGTCTCAAAGGCAACGTAACCAATCTGGCGAATTGTGAAAAAAATGAAACGCAAGCCTTATATTTGACGCTGTACTTGTGAGTATATTTTATTTATTTTAATTTTTCTTGCTAACTACCTCACCAGAGAGCACTATTGGCTGTTTTTTATTTCTTTCCCTGAGAATTGGACACCAGCACTCTCCAGGAGGACAAGTACCCCTACAAGCGGAGGGTTATCCGCTGTATGCCCATCATACTAGAGCTGGTCCTAGCTCAAGGAAATGTGAGTGTGTAATTTATATTTTAAATTTCACGATTACTCATTTATACACTCTGCATGATTGGTTCTTTCCCATTGTGTCTTTCATATCGTGAGACGGACGATTATTACCAAAGAAGACACCACATCAGTTGAGACACCATCTATTATTGGGACTCTTTTATTGAACATTTTATTATTACTATTTTATTTGTACCTAATTTACTTGTTTTATTTACTCCCCTTGGCGCAGCCTTTTCTTTATTTTTGCGAACATAGAGTCTGTTTGGGTTACGTTAGAATTTGGTAATTACACAGTAACTTGTGTAGGTGTGATTTACAGGCCCCCAGGACAAATAGAAGAGTTAGATAATCTACTAGTTGAGGAAACAGCTAAAATGACAATGAAGGGGGAAGTTATCATCATGGGTGACTTTAAAGCGACACCGTAGGCACTGTATCTGCTTTCTCTCATTAAACTGGTTATAGTGTATGGAGTCCCCTGGTGCCATAATTTCTTTCAGCATTAAACAGTTTTTAATGTTGTAATGTTTTAATGCTAAACAAGAGACCCCGGCAGTCCATCCCCTCTGTGCTGCTTTGGCTAATAAGGAAGTATTACCATGAGCAGCTGTGATTGGCTGAGAGTGTCAGCTGACTGCTTTTAACCTGTCAGAGCTCCAACTGACGGTATGAATGGGTATGACAACAAGGAAGTGTGTAATCTCTGCCTTAGCTACACATACAGAAGGGGCCGGATTGTGGGTGGCCAGGGACTCTTATTTTGTGGCATACTGCACAAACATGGTGCAACACGGAATGGAGGGACAGTGCCAGGGCACTCCATGCACTATAACCAATTCAATGAGACAAAGTGGTTATAGTGACTACAGTGTCCCTTTAATTTTCCTGATGTTAACTGGAATTCCAAAATAGCTGCTAGTACCAGGAGCACACATATTCTAAACTCCCTACTGGGATTGTCTCTAAAACAACTCGTTGAGGAACCAACTCGTAAGGAGGCCATACTAGATTTAGTGTTTACAAATGGAGATTTGGTATTAGATATTACTGTAGGTGAAAGTTTAGGATCCAGTGATCATCAGTCAGTGTGGTTTAATATAAGTACAGTGACTAACACCACACAAAAACTAAAGTTTTAGACTTAAGAAAAACAGACTTTTCTAAAATTAGAATATGCGTAAAGGAGTCCTTGTCAGACTGGAGCAGTTTAAATGGAGTCAAGGAGAAATGGGATTATTTAAAAGTTGCACTGCTGAAGGCCACATCAAATTGCATGAGGCATGTCAGTAAAAGCAAAAATTTTTAGAAAAGACTGTGGTACTCCGCAGATGGGCCAAAACAGTAAAAAAACAAAAAGTTAGCATTTAGTAATTATTAAAAAAAAGCAGAGTGAGGAAGACAGACAGATCTATAGGATTAGGACAGACGATCACACACAGAAGAGAAAATAGCACAGTCAGTAAAAAAGGGGGATAAAGCATTTTTTAGATACATAAATGAGAAAAAGAAAGTAAAACAAGGATTAGTTAGATTAAAAACAAAAGAAGGAATGTATTTAGAAGAGGATAAAGGTCTAGCTGATTGCCTCAATGAATATTTTTGTTCAGTATTTACAGATGAAAATGAAGGAAAGGGGCCTTAGTTAGGAAGAAGGACAACAGAGGGTTGTAGTCAACGGAGTATATTCAAAGCAAGGTCTAGTTACCAGTGGGGTACCTCAGTGATTTGTACTTGGACCCATTTACTTTAATATTTTTATTAGTGATATTGCAGAAGGTCTTGATGGTAAGTTATGTCTTTTTTCTGATGATACTAAAATTTGCAACAGGGTGGATGTTCCAGGAGGGATAAGCTAAATGGCAAATGATTTAGAAAATCTAGGAAAATGGTCAGAGCTGTGGCAACTGACATTAAATGTGGATAAGTGCAAGATAATGCATCTTGGACATAAAAACCCAAGGGCAGAGTACAGAATATTTCATAGAGTCCTAACTTCAACATCTGAGCAAAGGGATTTAGGGGTGATTTATGATGACTTAAAGGTAGGAAGACAATGTAATAGAGCAGCAGGAAATGCTAGCAGAATACTTTGTTGTATAGGGAGAGGTATTAGAAGTAGAAAGAGGGAAGTGCTCATGCCATTGTACAGAACACTGGTGAGACCTCACTTGTAGTATTGTACGCAGTACTGGAGACCGTATCTCCAGAAGGATATTGATACTTTGGAGAGAGTTCAGAGAAGGGCTACTGAACTGTTTCATGGATTGCAGGATAAAACTTACAAGGAAAGGTTAAAGGAACCTAACATGTATAACTTGGAGGAAAGACAAGACAGGGGGGATATGATAGAAACATTTAAATACATAAAGGAAATCAACACAGTAAAGGAGGAGACTATATTTAAAAGAAGAAAAACTACCACAACAAGAGGACATAGTCTTAAATTAGAGGGGCAAAGGTTTAAAAATAATTTCAGGAAGTATTACCTTACTGAGAGGGTAGTGGATGCATGGAATAGCCTTCCAGCTGAAGTGGTAGATGTTAACACAGTAAAGGAATTTATTAATGCGTGAGATAGACATAAGGCTATCCTAACTATAAGATAAGGCCAGGGACTAATGAAAGTATTTAGAAAATTGGGCAGACTAGATGGGCTGAATGGTTCTTATCTGCCGTCACAGTCTATATTTCTATGTTTCTAGATATAATACTTTTTTTAACAAAATTCCAGAAATGCACTAGAAATCACTAGAAAAATAATTATATCAACTTTGTCTTCAAAGTAGCTATTCTAAATTTCATGATTTCGTGCTAATGTAATAGCAATTTTAGATTTGTATGATGAGAGTTTATTAATATAGATTGATTATCAATGCTTTTATAAGTACTTTGATTAGTGACACAGAATTGCTTCTTAAAGAAAAGATTACTGTTCAAAAAATGCATATCTAACTTGCACTTGCCTGGAGGGTCCTACATTGCCAGGAGCCCTACATGTTATATTCTTCAATGGCCTGCAAGGTGTTTGAAGGTCTAATCTAATTCTATTTTATAAGGTTTAATCTAACTCTTTTCATCGTCGACCTGTAACAAACGTTCCTGTCCCTCTGCATCCTTTTCACTGCACTCATGATTGTGAAGGTACCAGCCACCACTAAGCTTTGTGTTTTATTAACTTTGGAGGCTACTGCTATTTAAAGGGACACTCCAGACCCCTAAATAATCCAGTAACACAATGAATTGTTGAAATTTTAACACACTATATTTTTATCATAGTCCACTAATTTGTAGCAGGTCTTTAATTAGGTCATACCCTCTCAATTTCAACATCCAGAAACATCTACCTAGGAAATTAAGTTGATCAATTTTTATCATTGTGATATATTTCCTCTTCAATTTCACTACATCCTTTTTCCCTTTTGGACCCACTGCCCACCTGAGCTGTTGTGTGTCACATTGGCACAACGTTTGCTTCTTTTATTGATATTGCTATCAAGCATTCTGTAACACGGCACTCCAAAGTGTCACTTTTATGTCATGAATGAATTCATATACCTTTTGTTGACACATGAATGATGTAGACACAAGTTTGTTATCTCTGCCATGCTAACTACCTAGCTCTCTAGTATATCATTTTGATAATGTTCGTTAGTTTATGACATTTTTGTTTAATTAATTATGTGACTCTTATGTGGCTCTCTCAAATGTGTATATTATTTGACTATATTCATAACTGTTAAATCTGAGGTTTGTAATATTGTCTGAGGTTTGTAATATTGTCTCTGACAGCCTTGAGTGCCGTGCACCACACATGTGCCATAGGTTGCTGACCTCTTCCCGAATCCTTACATTACCAAGATAAGTTTTCAGTAATCTGTTGCTGCTTAAAATGTGACTGATACAGCAAATGTCCATTTTCATTATATTAACTTCTAGTGAGCCTTGTGGTCTTATGAATCATTTTGTATATAACCGAGTAACAGTCTAGGGTAGAGTTATTTAAACTTGCCTTATCAAAAACTAAGACTTGATGATATTACTATGTATGTAGAGATGTCAATAAATATTGGAGTGAAAGTCCATAATTAACCCTCTCGTCATAAAACAGAGATGTATTCTGATTTTATTGCTGGTCTTCAGTACACATATCAATGCAATGTTTTGTGAACCCAGGACATACTTGAAAATGAGAGAAATCTCAATGTATTCTTCCAGGTAAAATATTTTATTAAAAAAAAATAAAATAAAAAATAATTTGAAGAATGCTACCCAAAGTAATCGCATCCAGTTTGCAAAGCAATGGCTTTCCTTAAATCCGTATCAAAGTTTAATTGGAGTACCAAACCTTCAACAGAAATATTTTTCTCATTTGGAAGATACTTTATGATAACATAAAGAGAAGAACAGATGGAGAAATGTAACTGTGAATCAGGTCCAGGCTTGCTTTTATGTTTGCAGTTCAGCGTGTGACCTAAATGTCAGAGACACACAGCATTGTTAGGAACGTATGCTAGTTAATAACATTTACCAACAAAGAAAAAACTACAATTACTTGGCACATAATTATGATTGTGATTGGGAGGTTGAAATGATTTTGAAAGCTTTTTTTTTTCTTGGAGCTGTTATTTAACATGCATTCTGCAAGAGGCAGGGGAGTATGTTTCAAATGCATATTATTAAACAGATTTGATACAGCAATACTCTGTTTAACAGCAGCTGCTGTCCTAAACAAACAACGTGATTGAAGATTTGTTTTAACCCTTTAAGAGTACTTGACTCTATCTTTGGAACAGTACATAATTGCTTTATGATTTTATTTTATTTTTAAAGTATTAAACAAAACCAGATTTTCTGCAAATTATAATTATATCAAACGTGCAATTAAAAAAAAGAAACAAACAATGCTAAGCACTAATTTATATACTATGATTAAATAGGTTTATGAACAACCAAAAACATTTGGTTTGTCTGGATCAATTTGTCCCAAATTTCTTTTGGTTTGGGTAAACCAAATTTTGAACATGTGGCATTTCTGTTGAACCAAAATACTTAATTTGCTAGCCAGCCATCACCTTAAAATATAATAAAAAAATAAATAAAGAAAGCAAGACTATTTGAAACAATATGACCCACCAACCATGTCTAAAAAATGTAAATGTAAATATATTTATTTAAAAAAGCCTGTGACCCCACATTTGAATAAGGGAGATATAGCAACTCTCTTGTGCCCCCTCTAAACTGTCTCCCCTTTCCCCCCACCCATAATTTTGTGGGGATCATTATTTAATATTTAAAGGAAGACTGTATTCCTAACACTATAGTGGACCTCTGCCCCAACCCCCCCCCCCCATGGCATTGAAATGGTTAACAACTATTTAAAACACTTACACAGATTCCATTGGTGAAGGTTCTTGGTGCTGGCTCCGTCTCCGCCTCCTCCAATGTCAGTGCGAGGGGGAACCTGATGTGCAGCGTGTGCGCATTAGGCCTTACCCATAGAAAAGCATTGAATCAATGCTTTCCCGTGGGGTTTTGCAAGAGACTGAAATTCTCATGCAAAATGTGTGGACGTCCAGCATCATTCACAGAGTTAAACTTCGTCAAACTGCAGGAAGCACCTCTAAAACTGCAATGTTTTAACTCTCAGGGTTAAGGGGACAGGGACAATGCACCCAGGCCACTTCAATAAGATGAAGTGGTCTGGGTGCCTATAGTGCCCTCCTCACACAATCGGTTATGCCCCCACCACACACACTGTCACTCCCACACACACACATTCTCAGGAAAGGTGACAGTGTGTATGTGGAGGGTGACCGTGTGTGTAGGGGTGACAGTTTCATTATGTGTAGGGTGACAGTGTGTGTGTGAGGAGGAGGGGTGACAGAGTGTAGGGAGGCTGTGTTTTAGTGACCATCCTCCCCACATGAAATATGTAATCGGTTCCCTGATGGTCCAGCGGTCTTCCTCTCTGGTGGTCCTTGTGGATTGCTTGGATCCCAAGATCTTTACCACATGACCTTCAGCTCTGTACCTGGCAGAGCTGAAGACTGGAAGCTATAAACTCTTTCTCCCCAGGCATACTGAGTGGAGGGGCAAGACACTAGGATCAGTTTGCCCTAAGGAGACTTAGGTGACCGTGAGGCCCTGTCTGCACAAGGCCTTAAGCCGCCTCCTAAGTCACCTAATTAGAGAGCCACCTCTGTGGATATGCTATCATGACAAAAAAAAAATTAATAAGCTTTACTTTCTGCCTTATCACTGTAATATTGAGTCCAACTGATAGTGAAGCGGCCTGCAATTCTTCAACGTTTTTTTTCCCTATAAATCCTTTTTAAGGTGCATTATTAAACCAAGCTGAGATGGGATATTTATGCATGCAAAAATAAAATAGAAAAAATATATACTATACAAAAATATATCAATATATCAAAATATTAGGTTTTTAAAATGATTTTTCATATTTATTTATTTTTTTAATTAACTTTGAAAAATATGAAATAATTTAAAAAGCACATTCAACAATATTTAATTGAGGCCTTAGTAATTTAAATAGGTTGTATGAAATGTTCTTGTATTTGTGTATACAAAATATTAAAGTGTGGATTCCTGTGCTACTGCTGGTAAAATGACAGAAAGTGAAATGTCCCACGTTTAATATCCTGTTTTTTTTTTTTTTTTTTTCAGCTTTTTAGACACATTTGCTTTAGTAGGTTTGATTTGCCCCAAATGAGAACAAGATTGTTTGTGAATCCAGTTTATCTGGACAGGTCAAATGTAAACAGAGATTAAATGCTATTAACACTAATATTACAAGTGACATAACTGTGTACTAGCAAAACTATTAACAGATTAATTTAACCAATCATTGTTAACAGGAGTAGTCCCAGAAGATTAGAAATTAGCAAATGTTGTGCCCATTCACAACAAAGTAGGGAGGAGTCGGGCAACTATAGGCCAGCAAGCCTTACTTCAGTAAATTGGGAAAGTGATGGAAACCATGTTAAAGGATAGGATTTTTGAACATCTAAAATCACATGGATTTCAAGATCAGAGACATGATTTTACTTCAGGGAGATCATGCCAAACTAATCATTGATTTTTTAGATTGGGTAACTAAAATATTAGATCAGGGTGGTGCAGTAGACATTGCTTACCTAGATTTCAGTAAGGCTTTTGACACTGTTCCATATAGAAGGCCCATCAATAAACTGCAATATTTAAAGGGACACTATAGTCACCAGAACAACTACAGCTTAATGTAGTTGTACTGGTGAGTATAATCATTGCCTTTTCATGCAATTTCAGTAAACACTTCATGTAAACACTGCTTTTTCAG